TAAAGGAATGGGTGGCAGGGTGTGTTTTTTGTGGGCGGGAGGGGACAATGGAGGACAGGGGCGCCTCCACCATGGTCCTCCTGTGTGTTTTTCTGGGGGGTGGCGGGCGACGGAAGTGTGCCGGGGTTTTTCGACCTCCACCATGGTCCTCCTACGCGCCCACACGCCCGCACTTCCATACGACGGATCACTAGAAGCCTTCGGGAAAAAAATGGCCCGTGTACGATCGGCCAGGGGGCGGGCTGTCGTGGACGGCGTGGCGTGTACACGGTGTGCGGCGATAGCGCACCGCGTTGAAAAGGAGATTCCGGGCCGCAGTCCGTACGACAGTACTCCATTTTCCACGTTTCCGACGGTGTCATCTGAGCAGTGATTCGTAGCCGCACGCCAACCCTTCCCGCCCTTTGCGTCTCCACGTTCGAGCTTTGTGCACTGCGTGCAGTCCCCCTTAACGCGCCGCAAGCACGTGCTCTTTTTTGGCTGGCCATCATCGTCGCGGCTCCTGCCCACCACGATTGCGCAACGTCCATGTGCTCCTTCGTCGACGTGGCCGTCGTCGATCTCCAAGCGTCGTACTTCCATGTGCTCCTTCGTCCACGTGTTCGTCGTTGCTGAGTTGCGGACGAAATGGCCCCGAGGAACGCGTCCATGAAGGCCAGGAAAGATAGCGGGGCGGGCGACGAGGGGGAAACCAAGAGAGGCAGAGGGCACATTCCTAAGCCGAAAAGGCAGCGTGTTGAAGAGTCGAGCTCTGAGCACACTGCAGACTTCCAGGCAGAAGAAGTGGTGATGGTGGACGCGTAAGGGACTTCAGCGGCGCCGCGATTGGGTTTCGGGCGGGACGGGGTGACGAGGGAACAACTGTCCGCTGTCAAGCAGAGCATTGGTGTTGGTGCTGCCGGGGCGTCGCAAAGGACCTTGAGGGCGGCAGGGGTTGTCATAACGGAGGTGCGCGTCCCGAGGCAACTTCCCGCGGCGGCGGAGCAGGGCCAGCCACGTCAGGCACTTCCCCTGCAACAGCTGGGGGCTTCAGGGGGGGGGAAAGCACAGTCCGCGCAAAAGCGCGATGCAACGGCCTGAATCGTTCTGACCTCCAGGCCGGCCTGGCAGCTGAACACCTCCCGCCGCACCCGTGTCCGCCAGATTTGTGGGGTGTATAGTGTGATCGCCCCTGGACATGGCCATCATTACACACGCTCGTCCATCCGAAAATTGAACCCCAGCTCCTTTCTCTCCAGCGGTCAGTGTGAAGAAATCAGGCTTCCCCGATTCTCCTATGAACTTGTGCACAATTTTGAACTTCATGTACAGGTTGTCCCATTTTTTCCCGCAGTCGTCGGCCTTTCTAGTCGTTACCCCCATCTGCACGAGCCTGCTCTCGATGTCGGCCCACTTCCATGTCTTCGTCTTCATCCTTCCCATGTTGTGGCCGAGGCCAGCAAGATGCAAATCCTGGTCTCTTTTAGCTCTGACAAGAGCAATCATGTGTTCCACGGTCCAAAAATCCCTGCTTTTCGCTCCGTCGCCTACCGACGCATCTCCCGCATCTTGCCTCTCCGCCCCGCGCGTGGCTCGCTGGACTTGCGCGTCGCCCTAGGCCCTCCCCGTTTCTTCCCCAGCGGACGAATCTCCATCTCCCCGTCATCGTCGTCGTCGTTGTCATTGCCCCCGTCGCCTGCCGAGCAATCCTCACCACCCGCACCGTCACAATCGCCGAGTGTGTCGTCCGCCCCTACATTGATCTTCACCACCCCTCTCGTTATGGCGGACGTGCTAGATTGACGTGATTGTCGTCGGTAATCATCCTAAACCTCTCGCCTCGCGACCTCCGCAGCGTAGCCCTCATCGTCATCCCGTCCTCGCTGGACTGCTTCGCCTGCCGTTGTCGATCCAGCTGTCCTCGTTCCTGATGCACGAACACCTGCTGTGCCCACTGCCGCCCGCCCTCGCGAAACGACTCCACGTTTGTCGCCCGACTGACCAGAACCCTGGCCGCGGGTGTCAGGAAGGCCACACGGCCCCACCGAAGGCGCTGTGTGGTTGCTGGCAGAACCCGGGTTCACGAGAACGGTGTGCGTGACGTCCTGGCCACTCCCAGACCTCAAACCGAAGCTGAGATCTACGAGCCCTCCGTCGTAACCAACCGGGGTCCGCCCCTCCAGCAGATCAGTGTACGTCGGCGTCGAGGGCTGTCTGTACAGCTGGCTCCCCATCCAATCCTGTGTCGAACCGCTGCCCAGAGGAACCGTTGATGATCGGGGCCCGTCGCTGTCGTCCTCACTCGGAGGCAATGGAATCTCGTGGGACGGCAGGTGGCTGTATAGCGTCGGGTCGTACGGGCGCCTGCCGCCTTCCGCAGAGCTGCAACGCTGATGTGACGACCCGCCGGTCCCTACGGACATCGTCCTCTTCGTCTGCACCTTCTCCATCTTCCCGGTCGCCTTCGTCGTTCGCCGCCTTTGTTTCCTGCAAGGGACGCGACCGAGGATGCAGATATGAAAGACGACAACGGCTAGCAGCAGCACAACGACAAGCAGCAACAAAGGCAGCCTGCGGCACAGGTCAGCCATGAAGGAGAGGGGACGCACTTGGCTGTCGCAACCGCGATGATCGGAGACAGACGTTGCACTAGGGAAGACACCGACGTACGAAATTGCTGCAGCCACCGGCCGGGGGTGGACGCTTAAAGAAATTCGTGTTTCCGACCGTTGGGCAGCCCGCGGGAACGCTATGACACCTCCACGACTCGGCCGAAAACGTCTGATGCCCGGCACGGCACCGCCGTGGGGCTGCCCTACGAACCGACAGGGACGTACCGCCAATCCCGACAACGGTAAAAAGACGAGTCCGTTGGTGGACGTTTTGGACGTTGGCGCCTCACGATGTCCGTCTTCTACACGGAGGACCAACACTGGACCACCTCTGACCACCAATGTCCCTTTTGGACTCGCCGCCGACACCCCGATTATCGCGGATCCTCGGACTCCGAGGGACCTCGCGAGGTCCCTTGGAGCCGAGGACGATTTGGCTGGAAAATCCTCGGAGCCCGTGGATTTGTCCTCGGAGTGTTTTCACATTTCTGTTTCGAAAATCGGCTTCGAGGACAGGTGGAACGAAGACGAAATCCTTGGAATCACGTCCCCGAGGTGTGTCGAACGACGCCCTAAATCTGCCAAGCGCCACTGCGGGTAATGAACTTGAATGACTGGGCGCAGGCTTAGACCGCTTCTGCTAAACTTGGACGCATTCCGAAACTCGCACCATGACACCGGTGCCACTTTGTCTTTTTTCTTGCCTATTTCAAACTGAAAGTGTGCCACCGCCACAGTTTCCCCTTTTTTGCTTTCTTTGATTGGCAATACAAGTGCAATGAACTTAGTTGAAAAATGCCAATTTGGTGCAAAATTTCGATGTGACCCTGGGGCCTGGGGCCTGGACCCATTAGCGAAGTATTCTACCACTTCGTTCAGGATTTCGATCACGTGTGGCCTCGAGTGACACAGTATGGCCGTCGAATAGATCGGATCTCGACGGCCTGGTAGTTTCCGAGTGGGGACTGTAAWGATGCCCMCCYCCCGTCCAATGAGATGCGTCGAAAAAAAAAAAAAAAAAAAAGTTGGACTAACTTGGACATGATAGCTTGTGGCTTTGCGTGGGCGGGAAGTCTGGATTTTATGGGCTCTAAGTTGATTTCCAGACTTCGTTTTTTTTTTTTTGGCTCTGAGAAATAGAACTTGAAAGGTGAAATTCAGATATTGTTGTGGATCTGACAGGAACGCTTCCGCGTCTGTCGGATGGCCTGCTAAAGGCATCATGAGGTACATGGTGATGAATGTACCTGGACCCACTAGCGAAGTATTCTACGATGTGTGACGCAATTTTATGTTTTTTTGGAAAATACAAAGTGATTTTTTATTTGCATGAATGGATCGTTTTCTGATTTAAAATGAATTGAAATAGCACATAAAACTATGAAGAACAGCTGTGCACCCCAACTCATGGGTTGGTACAATCTCCGTCACGTAAGTCTTCATGGTGATGTGCCGTGGCAATGAAATGTGTCCACGAACACAGTCACAAGGATGAACAATTAACGGGTATTGGGATACATTCATCACCATGTACCTCATGATGCCTCGAGCAGGCCATCTGACAGACGCGGAAGCGCTCCTGTCAGATCCACCACAATATTCAAATTTCACATTTCAAGTTCTATTTCTCAGAGCCAAAAAAACAAAAAACGAAGTCTGGAAATCAACCCCCCCCTTTTAATTCCATAAAATCCGGACTTCCCGCCCACGCACAGCCACGAGCTATCATGTCCAACTTTGTTGGTTTTTTCTTTTCTACGCATCTCATTGGACAGTAGGTGGGCATCTTTACAGTCCCCGCTCGGAAACTACCCGGCCGTCGAGATCCAATGTATTCGACGGCTGTACTGCGTTACTCGAGGTCACACGTGATCGAAATCCTGAACGGAGTGGTAGAATACTTCACTAGTGGGTCCAGGCCCCTGAGGCAAAAGTTGTTCAGTTTATTTTTCTGCATAACATAGTTTTTTTTCGATTTTGTTTTTCTTCTTTTTTTTTTTTTTTTTTTTTTTTTTTTTTTTTTTTTTTGGCTGGGACCTTCCCTGGAGCACGGTTCCACTAGCAAAGGAGTAAGGTAAACTGCAATGACTTGCTGGTTCCAGGTCACCTGTAGCCTCACTCTGACGAGGCTGTACCATGGTTAGGGACAGATTCATAATTTTGTTTGGCCGAGGACTAACCGACAGACCTGCCTGTATGGAAAATTCGTGAGGGACATATTTGTAAATATAGAAATATGGGCCCAGTACTAACTCGATTTTCCTACAGCTAAACTAATTGCGAATAGCAGACCCGGGCTACCCCTAGGACAGACAGGCCCTATGGGCCTATGCTGATAGACGGTCCTATAGCCTATAACGAGGTAGGGAGAGGCCCTAGAGGCCGACACAGAAACGGTACCGGTCGGTCAGTCAGTCCGGTCTAGGTCGGTCTAGGCTAGTGTTAGAGTATAGATAGGATGGGGACATCGGTCCTGGGCTTTTTGGCAGTTGACACTTCGTGGTGGAAGTTGCTGCGCACAGGGTATCAGTTCGTGGTTGCTGATTTCTGTCGTGGAGACGGCGGACATAGCCAGACCTTCGGAGCACTGACCAGACTGGGGTCAACGCTGTCCGCTCTGACTCTCTGAGAGTCAAAGCGGTCTGGGCTATCAAAGGTCTGATGCGTTGGAGTACGTGGTGCACTGCTGACCCTCCTCAGGAGTAGGGTCCCAGTGGCGATGCAGCCATAGCTGCATCTTCTCATAGGTTATCATCGTCTGGCTTCTCAGAGGTTATCATCGTCTGGACTTCATCTTCATCAGGGACTGTTGGCTGGATGGCGATTGGCTCTGGGAGCCTGTTTCACTTTGGCGCAGACCACTGAGTTGGATGTTGGGGTGGCGCCGGGTGTTACCTGGGGTTTCGGTGCTATTTTTAGTTGTTCAGGGTGTTGGGGTTGAGGCGCTACCCCTCTGAGGGTAGTGCAACAGGGTTATGAGGTTATTCAATAAAAACGATGCTCTGAGTTTAATAAACAGTTGTAATACTGTGTTCGAGTTGTCATCTCTTCATTGATTTTTGGCTGTGATCACTCGGTTGTCTTCTATGAATGATTGTTGGGATAACTATGGAGAGAATTCACTGCACATGTGTATTCTGTCACTTCGCTTCTCTGAGTCTTCCGCTGCGTTTCTTTTCTGAGCGGTGTGACCCTCCGCTACCTCTCCCCTTCCTTCTGTGCATGTATGGGCGTGTACGGGAGTTCCTGTGAGTGAGTGTTGATAAATTTCAACAGACAATCATGTGCATAATAGTTGGTATCAGAGCAGGTCAGACCCAGACAGTGGCGAGATGATGGACTGAGGCAGCCATCACTATTTGAGAGTTTCTGACGTCAGGTTTCATGGAGAAATCATATCTTCAGGATTGCGTTCAGTAGGGTGTTGGTGAAGAGTGTGTGGCGACTGGTATGGCAC